TCCTGCAGGTTCTTCTTCATGCCTTCTGCTTCATCTAGTTTGCTCTGAGCCTGCTGCAGTTCTTTGAACAGTGTCATCATCTGAGACTTCAGATTCTCCACCTCAGACGCTGCCTGAAATATTTGCATGACACACAAACATTACGGTAAGGAAACGAATCATTACAGACATCAGTGAACCTCTGCCAGCTGTGGGAATAACAGGGCTGTAGATCAGTAACAATAGACAAAGATGAGACGTCAAACTGAGGTTCTTTAAATGTGAATCACCTTTCACACAGAGCCTGCACGCATTCTTCATCACTGCACACACTTCCGACCACTACTAGTTTTAGTACTTTCACTATTGAGTAAATACCTTGTCCTCTTTCCCAGCATCCTCCTTGGTCTCTGTAGTCTCTGCTTGGGTGGTCTGTGTTGATTCCTCTACATTACTCTTCCTCTCCTCCAGCTCTCTAATTCTGTTGGAGAATTTGTTTCAAAAACTGTTAGAAAAGCAATAAAAAATAAAGAGCTTTATGAAAGCAAAACAGCAAAAACAGCAGATGATTACTGCCAAAAAGAGAAATATGGCAGCCCTTTCCTGCTCTTTTGCACCTTAAAACAACCAGTTTGGTCCACTTTAGAGGAAATAGCACATGGAACCACTAGCAGCCTGACTCCACTGTTTCCTGACGCTATAAACGTGGAAGAGTCGGGTCATGAGTGGATTATTTAGCGGCGAGCCGTCTCTACCTGGCAGCAGAGGACTGCAGCTCGGCCTGCAGCCGCTCGGCCCGCTGCGTCTCGTTCCTCAGTGACTGCAGGAGCTGGCTGACCGTCACCTCCTCGCTGTCCAGACGCGAGGCCGTCATGCTCAGGTCTGGACGCCTGCTGTGCTCTGAACCACACACATCGTTCATGCCGTCCACGCCTCCGTCCTGAGAAGGAAAACACACAGCCAGATCTCAAACTTTGGTTTACACAAGTCCTCAAAATAACCAAATGAAACTGCATTTTTATTGTTTTTTATTTGTGTGTTGCTCCTCACCGAGACCCTGATGACCTCAATGAAGGAGTCATCGTTCGAGTCCTGGTCTGCCTTCAGCTGTAGCTCAGAGTTCATGGCCACCAGGTCGTTCTTCTCTGCCTGTAGGCGAGCAACCTGGGCACGTAAGGCCTCCAGCTCTGCGCTCTGATTGGATGACGCCGCCTGGAGATGATATCACATGTCACCAACGCAAAAGTACTTAATGTGCAATGAGGCACAGTCTCATTAGGAAATATATAATAGAATTTTCATCATTTTAAAAAGGAACATATTGCTGGCTCTCAGCTGCTTTCTCCCAAAATATAACAAAGAAACAAAACGTAGTATCAGTACACCCTCACCAGTAAGCCTCCCGGGGCTCCCCCTCGCTTCCCTTCCTCCCCCAATCTCCTGCTCAGCTCCTGGTTTTGGAGAGTTAGCGCCTCCATGCGGCCCCGAGCCTCCTCCAGCCTTCTTTCCAGGAAGTCCCGCTCCTCCCGCTGCTTCTCCCGCCATGCAGACAGACCCTCGAAGCGTTCTTTCATCGTCAGGTTGGTCTGACGCAGGGCCTCTGAGCGTGAGACACACATGCAGAATTTGAATAAATGCACACTGTACGAGCCAGGTCATTTGAATTATGGCTCTTTCCCTGGCTATCAGGACTTTTGGCTCCCACAGACTACTCCAGCTGGTCTGTCACGCACACTACTCCACTACTACAACCATGAAACTCCACCCTGACATGAGCCGCCAGGAACACTGACCTGATAAGACTATTAGAGGGCTGCAACAAACTTCCTTGTTGTTGTTGTTGAATAGTGTAGCAACAACAAATATAAAAAAACTCTTCAACCCTCAATCTGACAGTGTACCACACACCCACTCTCACCTTTCAGGTCTCTGTTCTCCTGGATGAGGATGTTCATCTGCTGCAGGGTTTCCTCCAGCGTGCCGGACTGACTGGGAGAGCGAGAGAGGTCGCCGTTCATCATGGGGCCTCCAGATGCCATGATGCTGAGAGGAAGACAGGGAAAGAAAGACACACATATGTATAGAAGCTGTACGAAGAAGTTATCAGTTTGTTTTCTAGAAAGGATTTGAAGTGCCTGCTTTGAATATTAATACTTAATGCTAACAACACAGTAATCATTCAACTGGATTACAGTCACAGAAATGATGAGTGACGACGCACATTGCAGCCTGCCACAACATCTTTTCAGTTCAACCACCGGAGGGCGCAAAAGTTCAATTATTATTCAAGATGTTGCACAGTGGCTTTAAAGGTTCAGTAGGGTTTAGTGTCTTCTAGTGGTGTAAATGCAGATTACAACCCCATCGTCTCAACCTTCCTGTTCCCAGCATGTAGGAGAAACTAAAACCAAAAGCAAAAGGCCAGTGTTTGGTTTGACTGTTTTGGGCTACTGTACAAACATGGCAGACTCCGTAGAAGAAGACACGCTCCCTCTGTAGATAAAATGTCTCATTCTAAGGTAATGAAAACACAACGATTCTTATGAAAACATACATATGAATATTATGTTTAATTTCTAACAACAGATCCTCCTAAATGTTACACACTGGACCTTTAAGAACTAATGCCTGGACTACAATTTGTTTCAAAATTCAACAGGAGTTGTGTAGATAATCAAAAGACAATCCTTTCCACAGATTAGTCTTTGTAGACGAGACTGCGCTCTATGTTGCACACACCAAGGTACAGCGTTTATTTAAGGCAGAGATTCATTATTACAACATATTAACAAGAACAAATGGACCAACTGAAAACCTCATTAGCACACAATATGAATACAAACTATAAACACTTTAAATGAAATCTACTCTCGGTTATCTCAGTATTATTGTCTTAACTCGTGTGCATGCTGACATCCCTGAGTGACTCAGTGATTCAGCAGCAGAGAAACAGCACACAGTCAATCAAACGGAATGATCTAATCAGCAGGTCACATGATAAAGTAATGGCATTACAATAACAGGGAGCAGTATGTTATACACACTAAGGTCTGTTTCTGCTCTCACACACACACACACACACTGAATGACCGTCACAGATGAGCTGCAATAACTAGATTAGAGGTATTTAATACAAGATATCACTGTAACTCAGCCATAATACAACGAATGTCAGTGGGATAAATAAAAATAACAACACTGAACCCTACAGACACAATGTCGCTCTGTGAAAATGTTACAGGTATATTTCTGTTTAAAATTAAGTCTAAACTAAATCATTTTACTTTCACTTTCCTCGGGTGGGCCTATCCCGTGTGCGACTCTTGGTAAACACTGAAAAGTTAACTAGCAGTAACTTACACAACACAGATGTGGTTCAAGCCGAGCCAAACTGCGTCACAACAAATGTTAAAACGAGAAATAATGTTTTAACTCACCTGCTGTCAGCTCCTCGACTAAACACAGGCTGGGTGTGTTCTCAAAAAAACACACACAAACACGCAGAGAGACGGAAAAATGTGTCGACCAACCTTGTGCTGCTGCTTCTGGTTCGGAGCTACGTCAAACTACGTAGAGGAAACACAGCGCTTCCGGTGATTGTTTTCTAAATAAAATCATAAACTTAAGTCTCGCAGGGTTACAAGAACTGCGCACAACATTTGCCAGATATTTCTATTTAGTTTTAAAGAGATACAGTGAAAATGTATTTTTATTGGCCTTTAATGTAACATAGCTGTATAGGCAACAATACGTGTTAAAAATGTGATTTGCCAAATATATGAAAAAACATATGTCATTTTTAAGATGTAACTTCGTTGTGTTACGTTAAAACAAATAATTCAATTGGCTGTATTGCTTTTTGGTTATTAAATTCGTTTAACCAAAAAAAAAAAGAAAAAGAAAAATTGCCTGTTCTGTATATATTATCAAAGGTGCCACATCGAAACGAACGAAACATTTGTTAAGGCTATTTAATCCTGACTATAACATTATTTCCCATTATATTTAAAAACTTGTAAAAGAATAGCCTATATACAAAAAACAATCAAATGTGATCTGGACTAAATTAGGCTCAGCTTCAAGTACACCTTTTATCTTGAAGGCTTTTTTTTTTTTTTTTGCCTTACTTCCTGTCCCCACACGCTTGATTGTCGCTGTGGCGACGCAGCCGTGATTCGTGCGGATTTACCGGAGGTTTTCATTTCCTCGAAGTGACGTCGCAGTTCAGTGACTAGATCTGAGAATGAACTGCGGCTGTGTGTGAGCGCAGCCGCGGTGGGCACAGCTCCATCCGCATGTTTTATACATCAGGGCGAGTGTGACAGCTGAAGGCGGGGTCAGCCATCAGCTGCAGCGGGAATTCCCTTCAGGAGTCACCTTGCACTTTGAAAACGAGATAGGAAAGACTGGAGATTCCCTAACTTACTCAGACGGTTGTGTTATAAATAATATTAATTAGAAATCATAATTAATCCTGATGTAATATCTGGCTATATTGTTTTATGAAAACGCATCAAGGCCACTATAGATTATTGAAGGAGTGTAATGAGCCTCCCAGTTTCTTGCTTTAGTCCCAACTATTTTACAAAGTGGCCCATTAAGGCAAATATCCAATATTACTGAATTAATTCGATTTATTCAGATAATCTGTTATATAAAAAGAAATATATGTATATACATGTTGTTCATGGCAGTGTCCGTTAGATGGTAGTGTTGTCCGAGAAAAAAATCCTTATCAACTGTGCAAATTCACATCACTGAAATGTTGGATTGAGGTTAAACGAAACTGCTCAATAATATCCTAATGATAGTGTATATTGTGTGCATAGTGAGCTCTGCTGTTTTATGGAGAACAGACTGCAGACAGCTGATAGACGCATACAGAACATCATGTCTGTTGTTGGTGCAGTAGAGATTTGTAGTGTATAGAAGTGCATGCAGGGAATTTACAGGAGTAATAGTGGAGAGAATGAATCTCATTATCCTTTTCTTTATTTCATGTGTTCTGCTGTGGACCAATGTTATCAATCAGTGATGGAATTGTTAAATGTATCCAGATTATTCACTTCTGGACATAATTTCCAACATTAGAAACCAGTTTACTATTTTTGTGAGACTGATTGGTTTTTCCATTTGTGAATCTCGTGGATGCTTTCATGCGCTCTAAGAAAAATGGAAATTTCTGCATCAAAAAGCAGATTTTCTTAGAGTAGTTTTATGATCCCCTATAATCTGTCCACATGGTGAAAAAAATCTAGTGATAAAAAAAATGCACCTTATGCTTGCGGTTTGCCAAGATAGCCATGGTTGCTGTTTAATGTTTAGTAAACAAAATGATTAATGTGTGTAGGCTACTTATTGCCTTACAATGTTAATAATAGAATATTTTTATGTATATAGCACTTATCAAAACAAAGTGACAAAGTTATTCACATAGCCAGCAATGGACACATAAAACAACATTGAAACACATAAAAACTCTGCAATAAAACAATAAAAAGTAATAAACAAAGGGCATAAAAAATAAAAAATGGCAAAACCCCTAAACAGAGTAAAAACTAGAATGGGGACATTATTGGGTTCAACGGGTTTAAAATCCCTACATTTACCAAACTTAATAATATTTTCCAACACTTGAGTGCAACAACAACCTCACGTGGAAACATCAAAAGTCGGAGCGTCACATCAGTCCTTGAACGCAGCACTCCCGCGCTGTGGTGAAGCTGGTCTCTCTCCACTGCAGACAGATGAGATGGCAACACTGGGAGCAGCAACAGGTTGGGGTTGTTCAAGTTTCTGCATATTGATTTGACACTTGTGTTCTCTTTAAGAGTCTGCAGAGGAGAGAAGATCTGAGTATCTGCAGGTTCACAAATTCATCTGGTCGAATTTTGTGTAAAAAAAAAGTTTTTTAGAGTTTTTGGTCAATTAGCATCCTCATGCGTCCAGGTAACCATCACAAGTTCTGTACACCAACTTTTTTTGTTCTCATTTTCAACTCACTTTTAGCAACTTGGATGCTTGACGGGACCTCCAGCACAACACAATCGATTTTGATCAATTAGGAGAATAATATTTGTCTTCAGTGAAGCATCACCACAGGCTTTACAGACTACCAGAAACTCCTCTCCGGCTCTTCGGGATGTTTTCCACGGCTCTCCTCCTCGCAGCGCTCGGACTTTTTGCGCATCTGGACACTTTTACGCACGGGTGCCAGCTCCCCTCCGAGTGGCGGCCGCTGAGCGAGGGCTGCCGGGCGGAACTGGCGGAGATCATCGTGTACGCCCGGGTGCTGGCGATCCACCGGGAGCCCCTGGGCGGCGGGGCGGGCAGTCTGTACAACTCGTTGCCCTTCGGGTTCGGGTATGGATACGAGGGCGCGGAGGAAGGGCTGCTGTACTCTGCGGAGGTGGAGTTGCTGTGCGACCAGGCCTGGGGCAGCATGCTGGAGGTGCCCTCTGGATCAAGACTCAACCTGACCGGACTGGGGTACCTGTCCTGCCAGTCCCACACCGTGATGGAGAACTACTCCTACTTCTTCTTCCTCAGGTGAGGCGCAAGACTTGGGCACATACACACATTTGGACTCTAAATACTGATTCCAACAGTCTAAAAAGAAGTTTTTATTGTTGCCATTAAAATTAGACTGCAGCCCATAAAACTTTTTGCCAGACCAAAGTGCATTTTGCACACAAGTATCAAATTTAAACACTAATAACTCAGCTTGTGTTGGAGCACACTGACCTAAAGTCAGATGTTTAAACTTTATTTGAATATAATTTTGAAGTATCCCAGTAGAGGCTGCACAAGTGTGTCCACTATGAGACTTTCACTACATATATCTGATGACTGCTGCTACTGCACTTATTTTGCAAAGGTAGATTTTACCTGCAAAGCAAACCACAGGCTTATTAAACATGATGCATCTTTAACCTATGAAATGCATCAGTCTATATGAAACTTGCAAAACCATATTTGATTTTGAAAACTACTGTTACTGCACAGGCCAACAGTTCCTGCAGCAGCTTCACCTTCCTCCTCACCGTTTTCCTGTTTATCTCCTCCGCAGGATGGACGAGAACTACAACATCCTGCCCCATGGCGTCAACTTCCAGGATGCCATCTTCCCCGACACGTCCGAGAACAGGCGCACGTTCTCCAGCCTCTTCCAGTTCTCCAACTGCACCCAAGGGAGTCAGCCCTTCCACACCTTCAGCCCTGAGTGGGACACCCAGGAGGACAGCAGGGTAGGGCATCACGTCATTTTAACTACACACACCTTTTCATGTTTGATGTCTGGTGTGATTGGGTAGTTGGTTGCCATAGTAATGCTGCTTACTTGAAAACAAAAATGAGTCCCATCTCCTTGTGCAACCTCACTGACTTCTGAGAAGAATAAGATTGTAAATGTCCCCTTCTTCAGTCTGGTCAGCTTGTTTTGGTGTTTGCAGAGGATGTAAACAAACCCGACACCATCTCGTTACCATGGAGATAACAGATTGACAGTCTAGACAAACAGCAGGGAGCATGGAACTGGAGGTCGGGGGACTAACAACAACTATTGTTAGGGTGTTGCTTCTGGACCTGAATATACTGGTGTAGCTAAAATATGAACGTGAGTGCAGTGTGTGAGACTGCAGAGTGAGGTCTTGGTGTGTGTGTGTGTGTGTGTGTGTGTGTGTGTGTGTGTGTGTGTGTGTGGACACCTAATCCTGATGAATATGCTGACAGGAATGTGGTAAAGATCAGTAGAAACACAGTTTAACTGCCCTCTGACACAGTGCAGAGGCACACACACACACACAAACACACACATACACAAACACACACACACACAAACACACACACACACACGCAATGATTCAAAAAATACCTATACTCTCAATAGTTTCTCAGCATGTGATTGGTCAAATGAAGTCACATCCCAGCCCGTTGAAGATCAAAGCAGTGGCTGATTGGTCGAGGTCTGGCTCCTCAGGCAGACAGGACACAGACTGTCCAGAGGTCAAAGGTCAAATAGCAGAGATTCACATCTTTGACAGGCAGCAGTTTGAAAGTGTGTCAGTCTGCAGCTTCGATTCCTATCAGTATTAAGCAATGTAGCCCGGCTGACCTGGGAGCAGAGATAAGCCGAGCTCTGTCAACAGAGGGAGAACGGTCTGCTGCTGTGATTGAGGCATTTATTATCTCACCTTCTCTGAGGGAGTTGAGCAGGTCGCAAGTCAGACAAGACACAACACGGCGGCTGGAGATGGACCTACACTAGTCTTTGCCCTCCTTTAGAAAGGATACAAGAGGAGCTGTTTAGATGCTGAAGAGGTTTTAATTTGGTCATTACATTATTATCCACAAACCTACCTGCTTATGTCACTACAGTAACTAAAAGATGTATGTTTTCATATGTCATCACATCTCCAGGTGTACCATATTTGTATTAGAGTTGTGGAAAAATGAAGCATATGACTTGGACTTGAGTTTTAGAGGACTTGATTTCATTTAAAGAAGACTCCTTAAAGACTTGACTTGACCAGTTAAAAGCCTGAGAGGTGAACATTTTTGCCTTCAAGTTTTTGCATTGGAACAGTAACATAAATCAGATAGTGGCAGGCAGCCCCTGCATAGCTACAAGCAGACCTGCTCTTTGAACTGACCTCTTGTCAGCGTTTAGAGTCAAATTAACTTTCAATTCCTGAATACAGGTGACTTGACTTACTGTAGCAGTGCAGTTGAGAGTTTCAGCCTTAGACTTTAGCCTTTACTTGGAGTCGTCTCAGATTTATTTTTGACTTCAACTGTCTGCAGTGACTTGAGACTTGACATCGAATGGTTCCAAATTACTCAAGACATGACTTGGGATTTTTTTTATTTTTGTTTTAATTAATCTGGATTTATCTCCACTGACTTGAGACTTAACTCGGACTTCTATCAAATTCATCTTGACTGCACTTGTCTCAAGTGGCTTAAGACCTGACGGGGATATTGACCTGGACCATGTATTTATTTTTCTTTCCCTGCATTTGTCTCAACTGACTTTAGTCTTAAGTTTAACTCCATTGACTTGGGCTTGCTAACACAGCTCTAATATCACACGGCACCCACATCATTACAGCAATTTAAAAAATCGACACATTTGCATCAATTTGTGTAATTTGACTGAAAATGTCAAAAATGTACATTTATAAGTATCAGTGCATTAACATTTGGGATGTTGCACTTTTCTCCTGACTGACCTGAACACTGCCTGCAGCATACGTAGAGATGCCATTTATTGTTTCTTAAATGGATTTATGGCATTTTTTTATAGTCCGCAGTCAAAACTGCAGAACTAAATCAGGAAAGGTGCAGTGGTGTGGTGTCACCCTCTCCCTGTTTATTCAGGTTTGACCTGCAGGGTGTGGCCTGAGCCATATGGACAAGGGTCAGTGAGGCAGGGGTTAAAGACTCTGCTCCTTTAGAGGACGAGCGCTCACACGTAGAGGCCGCGACCTTCAGGCAAGGCAGGACAAAAACAGGTGTTTAGCTCTGGGAATTTATGGAGGAGTATGAGATGGGGGGGACCTTCTTCTTCCTCTTCATGTCTCTCTTTACCCTTCCACGTTTCCCTGCCTTTTGTCTTTTGAATGTGAAAGTATCAGATTTGAAGCAAAAGAAAAACGATCTTCGCTGTGTTTCCTTCTGTTTTGATTGGGCTGCAAATGAAAATAAATTTAAAACAGCTGAGAAGAATAAGATCCCATTTCTAATTTCAATATCTAGAATTTTGTTGTTTATTTTTGTCCGAAGGGATCTCGACTGTGTCCCTCGATGCATCACTGTCTCACTGATTTGAGGTTTCCAGACATCCTTCAGCTGCAGTTTAAACACAAAACATCCCTAAAATTGGGAGGTGGTTTGCTCCTTGTTTCATCCTCGTGGGAACCAGGCGCCCCTCTAGAAAGACAGACAAGAGACTCCCTCCACTTTCCTGCCAGAACCTTCAATTAGCTTTTGTCAAAGCTTCCTCTTATCGGCAGCACTGAGAGCAGCGTTAACCAGGCACAGGAGGTAGAGACTGCTGTAAGCCCACTAATCATTTGTTTAGTACAGATTTCCCTTTTATTCTGACAGATATTTTACGTCTTTTTTCACATTTCACTTCATAGGCCACAGCAAGACAGAGAAGAATTCCCGAAATACTTCTTATTCAGCACATTCCCGTGTTTATGTGCACTAAATGATTTAATTATAACCCCAGTGAGGGAAAACTCCACTTGTAACTGTCATGTAAACACCTTTAACACGTTTTCTGACTCTCATTAACATTTTATGTGGACACATAGAGGGATAAAAGGAAGACAACACAGTCTGACTGTTACACTCAGTAGTTAAAGCTCTGGATGAATAGTGTGTGTGTGTGTGTGTGTATGTGTGTGAGAGTGCCCGTGTCTCCCACTTTCTCTGTCTCGTCTTTGTTTTTTCTTTCTTTCTTTCTTTCTTTCTTTCTTTTGTTCTTTTTATCTCATCACCTCACTCTCTCTTTCTGCCTTATTGTCGGTTTTCTAACCACCCACCCCTATGCATACACACACAAAGCAAAGTAAAACCTCAGGAGAAGAGGAGAAACCCCTGCTTGCCTGTGTGTGTGTGTGTGTGTGTGGAGGGGGGAACTCATGCTGAGTCTCTATATAAAGTTAGAAAGGAGATCAAGTCTGCAGAAATAAGTGAGCAGTCAGGTCAGGATGGACACACACACAAAGGCACGTCTCTTAATCCCTTCAACCCTTTAATTTCTCCTCCTTCTCTCACCGTGTCTTCTTTCATTCTGTCATGAAGAGCCTGTGACTTCTTTCAGGTGCTTCCCTCGTGTTTGGTCAGTGAGTATGAAGCTGTAGAAATTGCGACACAAACTTAATCCTGGCTTTACATATGTCAAACTATTAACTGATCTATTCAACTGAAGTGAGCCATGTCTCTGCTGCTGTTTGTAATGGCAGTAAAATATGCCTTGTCTTACATATGTAAAAAAGATATATATTCATATTTCTGTATATTAAACCACATATGTTACATGTTAGCAGAACTCTTTTGTCCTGACCCGACACACTTTCTGGCTGTTTACATACTTTTAAACATACATAGTTACTTAAAGCTTCATTAATAGATTTTTGGCCACAAGGGGGCAGCACAACAAGTGTTACGCTCAGCATGATTGATGATGTTATTAACAGTTGCTAATTTATACATCCAGCAGATACGGGGCAGTATTAGCACACTTTTGGAGTTGTGTTTCTGTCCAATATTCACTCTCCTTTAAGCTCTCTTTACGGCTCCACCAGCTCCTGAGGGAAATATCTAGCTCTTTAGCTGCTAAATGCTCTCTGTGTCTGTCTGTTGTTTGGAGCTGAGCAGGTTGTGTACAGCAGATTTATCTGAAATTTGTATCTGAAAATAACTTTGTGCTGAGGCTGGACACCACGATGAGAGTGGTGAGACTCAACCAAAACAGTAAATCAATTGCTGTCGGTAAGATCAAAACAATGTGCTGAAAGATGCCAGATAATTATTGGGTTGGGTTTGTCACAACAAACTCCTTTCCATGGGATTTTGCAGACTTTTTTGGGATTGTTGTGGCCTAAAATGCCTGATTTCAAGGCAGCTTCTCTAAAAAAAATTCCAATACATGTTGCAGATTTAAATGCATTTAGACATGACAACTACTCCTCTTTAATTTTGACACTTGGCAGCCTTGGTAGACTTTTGGACAACAGAGACAATGTCTTTCTGTCTTTCAAATTTTTGTATACTTGAATTTGAGGACATTTTGTACATGCATGTGTGTGTGTGTTCACTTGTCCTCTAAATACTGTTTACACAGATGATGCTTAACAGCAGGCAGGTAACACCCGGATGTTTTGACAGCTGGTGTGCGTTTGTGTGTGCATGTGTGTGTTGGGGGCGTCCCACTGACAGCCTTCCTACAAGTATGAAAAAGGGTTCAAACTGTATAAAAAATGTGCCAGTGTTATGTAATATGGATTTGACTTTTGTTTGGATAAATGGGAAGAAAGAAAGAGGTGAGTTCACCCAAATTACAAAGAAAACTGTCTCTAGTCGTATCTGTGTAGACTATACACTAGAGGTATCCATCTCTGAGATTTATGCTTCCTTTGTTTGTCTGTACTTGCAGCATTGAAAGTTACATTTTAAAAATTCAACAGTTGTGCGCCCCCTTGACCTAGAGGTCTAAGGCACATACCTTGTAATTGCAATGCTAGTTCCAGCTGGAGACCATTGTTGCATGTCAAAATGAATGCAACCTCTCTTTCCAGAAACAACTATTTCATCAGTGAAAAGGTTAGTTTTAATTTAACTGACCCTATAATGGAATATATACCGTATGTATTCAACATGGAGACAAATACAGACACTTTTTGCATTTTTAATATTCCTTGATATTATTATTATTATTATTATTATTATTATTAATATATTTCATAACATGCTGAATCTTTGCATATCAGAACACTGTTTTGAGTCAAAAGTACATTTACTTACTTTAATTAGATTTTCTAATTGGTCTTTTAATTTGAAGATTCATTTATAGATGTTTGTGGTTATAATCTCTCATCTCCATTCTCAACTGTGTGAAATCTATTCAGAGCTTAGGTGGAAAGCTCACACCTGCCTCAGTGACTGATTGTGACAAGCTGAGACATTTGTCAATCAAGCAGCCACAAGTGTTAAACAAATAGTTTAACATTTTCAGGAGATACACTTCTTCCCTTTGTCGCAGAGAAGTTTGATACCACTATCATTTCTGTAAGTTAACTACGGAGCTAAAGCCGAGAGTCGGTTAGTTCAGGTTCAGCATAAAGGCTGAAAATAGAGGGAAACTGTTACAGTCACTACGCCCAGCAGCTAGTTGGTAAGGATAGTTGCAGCACGTATACAGGAACACACATGCATTCCCTGCTGTGACTACGTGAGCACTCACCCGTTAACCCCACTGGCCGAGGTCAGCTGTGGTCTACCAATGAGATGGAAAATTAGGGCCCCTGAAACATCAAAGTACGTGACCTTCGCATTGTCAGGGAGTGATTGGAGGTCCATAGGGTGAACCATTATGTTACACTGACTCAGATAAACAGCATACCTCGTCCTCGCTGGTAGCTGGGAGCCTGTGTGAGTAAATATAAATGACGAGGGTCAGGACCTCTACTTTATTTCCCCATCCCCCCTCCCTCCTTCCTAGTGTGTTGGGCTTTGCAGAGGAGGAAAAAACACGAGCAAGGCAGAAATAACAGCACTGTGGAGATCAAAGAAAAATAGATTTTTTTCATTTTCTCAGAGAGGCTGCTGGGAGAGTCACATCACCAGTGCTCCCACACTACACAACCACCTGACGAGATAGCAACTGGTGGTTTACAACAGTTAAGAAAACAACCCTTCCTGTATGTCAACTTACACTTTCCCTCTCCTCCTCTCTCCAGCTGCTGTGCTCCTCGGTGCAGGCCGCACTGTTCGAGGAGGAGGAGCGAGGCCGCAAGCTGCAGGAGCGCCTGGCCGCGGCGGAGAGGAGGAACCGGCAGCTGAAGGAGCGCGTACGTAAGGTGAAGCGCTCCCTGAGGAATGCCCGCAAGGCTGCACGCAAGGCCGAGCAGGAGGCGCAGGAGCTGCAGGAGAGGCTGAAGGCCATGGAGCGGAGGGTGGGGCATCACCTCAACGCCATTACACAGGAGGAGCCACCACCCGGACGTTATGCAAACACGGAGATACGCCAGCGAATGCAACTTTAACCAATCCCACCTGCCCCAAACTGCCACCCACCTAGACTGAATACTGGCTGTGGAGAGTGAGACTGCTGGGCGGTCTCTACTGAAGGGACAAACAAATAGCAACTGTCACATATGAGTAAACACACTTTAACGTAATAATCAACATAGATTCTTGTAAATAAACTACTCTGTCTCTTTTTGTATTTCTGAATGCTATAATACAAGAGTGAGGGTCAGGACCACTCCAGGTCACCTGACAAAAGAACAAAAAAGTGAATGAAGAGAATCAAACATGTATTTTCTCAATGATTCCTCTCACAGGTGGAGCAGTACTTGAGCTGTGCCGCCATCTGAAAGTGGTTTCAGTTGCTGCTCAGTGCTCCTCTCAGGCCGTGATCACGTAGGATTTGTTTTTTTCTCCAACGCAAAGCGCAGCTGTGAGCGGCTAAAGTGGCAGCAGGAGCTTATTGGAGAGAGAAGCAGTATTCTGTTTGCCATTCAACTGTCTAGTTTTTCTGAACCTGAAGTAGTTAATGTCTTAAAAAATAACAAAAAGGTTATGTATTGGTCTGTTTATGCTGGGGCTTAGCTAACGCTTCGGCTCGGGTAGAGCTTTATCTTTTTATTACGTCTTAAAAACAACCCTAGTGATGTCATCGGGGTTATCTTGGCTTCTGTTTGGACATTTTCTGACAGAACATGTTACATATTGGGGACATGAACTTTGAAAGACATTAGTGTTTACCAGGCAGGCTCAGGAAGAAGATGCTATTGAGTTGCATTATGGGAAGTGTAGGATCTAGTGTTTATAACATCACTTCATCAGGTGAAACCAACTTTATAAAATAGTCAACATAAGTCCAAAACAGAATTTTATGATTCTGATACTTTATTGTACATTAACTGATTTTCTGGCCATTTTGGGGCTGTGACACATCATTTTAATATAGCTTTTGTTAGCAAACAGCTTCTTATTTAAACATCCTGAAGACACGAGGCAACATTAACATTCATTTGGAGTTGTGTTTCAGGCCACCGGGTGAATGTGAGTGAGTAAAATATCTCTTAGCTGCTTAATGCTCCACTATGTTCATTGGCTAGTTGCTAACTTTGTGTGTATGCTGTTTGGTGCGTGGCAGGTAATGTGTGGTGGGTTAATTGGAGCTTTTTATTATTTTTTTTACAGAAAAAAACTGCCTGCTACAAATGGAAACTATGTTGATGAGAGCCATTAGACTCAATCATTAAAGTTGCAGGCCAGAAAACAAAAACAACGAGCTGATAAAATACTCTACTGAGTATGAGTGGAACTTTGGTGATAATTCTCAGTGGGTTCATCACTATGAGTGACCCTTTCCACAGTACACATACTAATTTGACCCATGGTTGGTATAAAAATATTAATTATAGCAGCTTTAAGTAATTGACAGACTTGTAGTTGTCATTTTAAGGCTTTTTGTTTTTGCAGCTTTTTGCAACACACATTGTATCCAAAGTAAGGACAAAAGCCTCTTATGTAATCACGGCCTAGTGAAGCAATGATAAAAGACATTACATTTAATTTCAATGATGTTGTGATTTATCAACTTTTCCTTTCACTGAAATTGTGAGCAAAGACTGGTGAATAAGAATTCTGGGATGTTTGAGAAGGTTCATTTATTATTAATTTGAGCTTTTTAAAGTCTGTAACATCAGCTTGTATGTGGATATTTTTGTATGAGTGTTTTTTTCTGCATATAAAATTTGCTTTGGATGAACATCGGTGTGAATGTGACAATGTTTTGAAGTAGGGTATTAACATCTGTGTCATCGGAGTACAAAAAAACAAACAGCCACACACACACAGCGGTTCAGTTAAGCCCTACAGCATCACGCAGAGAGTGTAAAGAGAGGTTAAGGTCAGAGGAGACATTTTATGTGTATATGTGTAGTGTTTGGGGAGATAATGAGAGTGTGTGTGTGTGTGTGTGTGTGTGTGTCTGGTCCATCAAGTGACTGGAATGTGTTTGTGTGGGCAGCAATGTTCTGAACAGCAGGACGTCGCTGAAATATTCCTCTAATTCAGTCTGGAAAACCGAAAGCTGCGGAGGGAGGCAAGCAGCCGTCACATCACGAGACCACGGTGAACGCAAGGAGAACACCAAAATCACCAAAAAGACGACAAAATGAGAGGCAGGGTGGATGGAGAGGGACACAGAGAAACAGATGCATCCATCAAAAAGCTAGATTGCAGTTTCTCTATTGTGGCACAAACATAATCAAACGCTCTGTGATGCTGAGGCGAGGAATACAGCAGTTTGTGGCCTGCAGTTGAAATGCTGAAATAACAAAGGAATACACACGTTCTCCTGTTTTCACATTCTGTTTCATTTCTTCTGTTTCCTTCATTGCCTTTGGTCTGTGCTTGATTAGCATGCAAGTAACACAGGTACAGAAAGCATTTATCTTTGCTCACCCTGCAGCAGCCAAACATGCACATCTGATGCTGAGGAGAGATGAGGAAATGTTGCTGCAGAGCTCAGAATGAACTTATTGTAACAGTTCAAATAACTGCTTATAATTGTAATGTTAGGTGTCAGTAATTAAAAAAATTAAAGCCACAAAATTTTTTTGCTTTGGGCTGGGTCGGCTCTACTCGGGTTCAGGGAATAGTGTAGTGTTGGCATGAACATATTAGCAGAGTAAGAAGTTTGAGGTTCTATTGTACACCTGCATGAATACGATCGAACATTAGCTGGTAGGCGATGCAGCTTATGCAAGCACGGCTTGTGGGCTCTGCCCGAGCTACGCTCCATTTGTGTGCTTATTCAACCAACATCCATTAACTTTTATAGGTTTTATAACTCTCTGCGTGGGACAATTGGGCACTTTAGAGCAGATGGCAGTTTTGGCTTAAATTCACTGTCATGTACCAGATTTCCTCTTTATAGCTGAGAGAATTCTGTAACTGCATTTAAATTAACATAATGTTGTACCTTTTTTCCCTTCAAAATAAAACGTATCTTGGGGTCAAAATTGTGGTACTGCAAGATGGTTTATAATTGGCATAGTTTTTAGCTTAGTACTGCTTGAAAACAGAGAGTGGGACAGTGGAGGGAGACATCACGTCACCCCCTGCTGTTTGCATTCAGAACTGTGTTTCCAAATGACATGCTCAGCCTTTGTACACTTCAGATCCCCCTGCATAACACCTGTATTACCCATGAGACATGCATTATTTATCAATTTGATGGAATGTATACAGTACAGTGCATGGTGCTTGGTAAAGGGCAAAACAACAGGTCTCTGCAGGGGAGAGAGGGGAGAGGAGGAGAATAATCCCTGCAGCGATAGAGGGGCTGGAGAAGAGGAGGGGAGACAGGGGAGGGGAGGGTTAAACTCTGAATTAAAGATGAGGAGAAATCAGTTTAAGAAGCAGAGAGATCAGTGACTCCGAGCACAAACACACTTACAGCTTGACAGCCAAAGTCAACAAGCAGTGTGTGTGTGTGTGTGTGTGTGTGTATGATGGGTAGTTTTGATTGAACAGAAACTCTATTCTGCAGCTTTGCTGTGTGTGTGTGTGTGTGTGTGTGTGTGTGTGTGTGTGTGTGTGTGTGTGTGTGTGTGGGCATGTAATTGGGCATGAGTGTCAAAGAGATGTAAAATACTTTGATTTCACAATTTTCATTTCAGTGCTTTGGTGTGAGTGTGTCAGAGGGATGAATGATTTTGAATAAGTGTGTGTGTGTGTGTGTGTGTGTGTGTGTGTGTGTGTGTGTGTGTGTGTGTGTATGCATTCCTCTGTACTAAACAGAGATAGACAGACAGTCGGGAGGAAAATCTCCAACTGAGATGGAGGGAAAAGCAGAGGAAGTGTGATGACTTGAACCACAGGAAGCTCCACTGGGCCAAACTCTGCTAATAGACGAGCAATATTAACACAACTTATCTGTGAAGAGCAAACACAAACCTTCAGGCTAACGCGGCTCAGCGGGGAAAACTCAATATCATCTCAGGCTACAGTGAGCCACTTCATTTGAGGATAATTTAAAAGTTTACTTCAGGGTGTCAGTTTATAGACTACAGTGTAGACAGGGGAAGGACAGGATGCAGCCCGCAGCTTTTCTGTCCTATGTTGATACAATACCTCCCACTAATTGTTTTCTTCTATCATAAGTTTGTGTGTTCAGAGTGACATTAAAATATGGCACAAATGCAGAAAGTCAAGCAAGAAACACAAAGTTGAGCAAAAGCTGATCACCATTGTTGGGAATCCCACCAAGCAACAAATACATCAAGATGGAGGAGAAGTGAAAAAGTTGTGGTTTGCTGTTGGGTAGAATTACAGCAGTGTTTCTCAAACTTTTTGCATCTCAGAAAATATTAGGCTCTTGAAGTACCACCATTATGACATAATTATGATAAAATACGTTAGCGTAGGCCGGCCCTATTCAACTACAGACAGTTCATGTAGGAGGAAGGTATTTCACATATACAAATAAGTCACATGTTGATTTTCAAAACAAAAGTACCATTAACCATTTATGGGTTTGCTTATTTGAGCCAATACCTTATCAATACCTACTTAAAATGAATCATCCACACTGGTGCTGGGCAGCTGTGAAGACTCTCAAGTTTGGAAACTGCTATCACAGAAAAACACTGATATTGCAAAAATGCTGAGAGGTCTCTTTAGTTTTTTGTTTTTTTCCCAAGACTGTAAACATGTTTTTATCTGAACTCTTACTGAACCCTTTGCTGCAACTGCACTATCATGTCAGTGTGGTTACTGCAGTGTAAACCTAAGGAGAATGTGTTCAGGCTGAACATACTATACGAGGAGGTAACATCTGTAGACAATGTGTTTTTAATGCCTTGTGTGTTTGCAACATCTGTCTTCTGTCTGCTAAACATCTGCTGTACAGCGGATATGTTGGCTAAATGCTGGCCAGAGTGGTAAAGAGTGTCTGGTGTCTGCTTTATATCCGCATGCATGGAGCCTGTGCGTGTTGAAATACTGAGTGCAAAACACACACAAACACACACGTGGGTTTACATTTGTAGGAAATGTAGTCCTAATTCTAAACAAACATACATACACACACACAGAAAAAACCCACGAGTAAAGACTCATATTACGATCATTCGGGAATTTATTCCAGGAGAAAGACAAACGAAACACAATCAGTCGCTCTGGCCTGTGTCGTCATGGTAACTCTGATATGTGCACATGATTGTCGAAGGCATCTGATATACAAGCCCCATTAACAGAAAGTCGTCATCATCATCATCATCATCATCATCATCACCACCACAGCACAACAAGTGCGGCAGGCAGTGCCCGCTCTGAGACATGAGTGTGTCGTCGGTGTGTGTGACAACGGTGCACGGGATGGGAGTTTGTTGTGGTCACATGCAGAGAGTAAATACAATACAGCCCGCTAACTCAGCAGGCTGTGGACGAGGACGCCCACAGGGAGACACACCGGGGCCCAAAAAGCAGCTTGTGTACAGTTTTGGCCCTACAAACACATTCTGAGAGGCAGAGCTGCTCTCATTGGTTGAGTTACATCTTAAGGGCAGAGGTTAAGGAGGCTTTTTTTAACGTTAGCTAGACTGAAGCTAACAGCTGCTAGCAAGGCAGCTTTGGTGCTAACCAAAATCTAGCAATGCTAATATCGTGGCTCCTAAAGCATTTGGCAACAGTTGATTTTTAAAAACACTTAATTACATATAAGTACATTAAAGATGATCAGATATAGTCAGAAGAAGATATAGTAAATATATTCTCTTGTAAAATTAAGTATGACATCCACGCTAACTGCTAAAGTAGCTTAAATAAATAAAATAGCCATTAGCTACATGGACTTGACCTCCATGGAAGCAGAGTTAGCAACAAGCCTGGCCTGTAGCTTTTCAAGAAATAATACTCCATAAAAAGCTATCTGAGTTAGCTACTTAGCCTATTCATTCAGTCAATTTCTAACTCGCCATATGAGGCTATTGCTAACTAGGTCAGCTAATGTAATAAATGTCAAGGTCATCAATGAACGAGAAAGCAAATAAATTAAAGAGTTTTTGCCACATTTGTCCAAGGCCCCAGATAACTTTACTTTGAAAGAAAATCAACCCATAATAAATTGGTGCAAAACTCTAGAAAACAATGATTCAATTTCACTCTGAGAGCCACAAAAATCCCTAAATAACTTTTTGTATCAACACAGTTTGCGCTGATTTGTGTACAAAAAAAATAAAAAAAAAACTCTTTAACATCCATATCAGTAAATTATTATCAGGCCAATGTATGCAGGGAATCAGCAGCATTAGACCAGCTTTCATTGAAGGGAACCATGTTGGAAGATGGTCTCCAGTTCTCTTAATAAATGCCAGTTTGGTGGATTATTTCTGCCTCTCGAAAGCGTTTGTAGGACTGAAACTCTAATCTGCTGCCGAATAAACCTCAGGCATCTCAACCTGTGTACGTCTTTACATAATACAGAGATACTTACATCATACAAGGGCATATAAGATTATGCAAACACTCATGGTGAAGTTGAATCCTTGAAGCACTTTTTTTCGACATGCTTGTGTTTTCATCTTTTGTGCCGATGCACTTCTTCGTTAAAAAAAAGAAAAAAGAAAAAGGTCAGAGGAGTGTGAGCTCGAAGGGCAAAGGGCGGACGAGAGTGGGTCGCAGCCGGCCCCTCGTTCTTAACAGTGTGTTTCTGAGTCGGTCACAGCTTTGGATTTCTTCCTTTAGAATGGCAAAAACGTAAGCCTGAGTTCAGTAAACGATGCTTTCACTTTTAGTTTGGACTGACACTGAAGTGGTGGTGGAACACTGGATGGCATTAACCCGCGCTGTGTAGCTCAATCACACAGTGCCCGACTGTATATGAAAGCAGGAGGGAGTAAAGGGGATTTTAGCTTTTTTTTTCTTTTACATTAAACATTCCATAGAGAATACAATCAACTTCCCTCGACACACACTCACTCGCTCACTCACTCACTCTCACATGCCTGAACAGCAAAACATTTGTAGATATTATCTTGAAAATGATCATTCATATTCACAATCTATTTACAGTAGCATCTTTAACATGGAAAGAGGCATTCAGAAAACTTTTTTTTTTTTTTTAAACAACAGACATAAAACCACTGAGCAGCATGAACCCCGAACCCTCTGCCTGCCTCACAATACATTCGTAAACCCAAACGTCCAGACTCAAGTGGACGACATCACATTTAATGAAACATATAGTGTTGGCTGCTGATTCATTAACCAGAGAAAAACCCGGTACATTTACACTTTTACAATGTAGCTCATTCAATAATAATAATAATAACAGTTAATAGTTAAGTGACAGGGATTCAGTGTCTTCCACTTATTTATTCCCCAGAGCTAAATCTTTTTTTTTTTTTTTAAACTATAGGTGCTGATGTTGTTTCCTTTGTTTCCTTCCAAGAAAAAGCATAGACGACACACTTAAAAATGTTTAAAAAATGCATAGCAATCAATGGGTATGTATACATGGTTACAGTGAATAATAAGATTAAGGTGATCATTGGAATAAAGCCCTTGCATGGTTAAAAGTTCCCCTCAGTAACATATGGATAAATACATGGATTGACTTTATAGTTTGGTTAGTAGAGATGTAACACACAAAACCCTGCTGTAAAAAAGTCAGAATTAATATATACTTGTGAAAGGTGAACTGTGTAGTCATGCAGTAGGAGACACATGGGGTGTTGTAAATCAGTAAGAAACACTATAAAAGTTAGCTTTCTCTATGACTGCACATTTATAATAACAACATAAATCAAGCCAACTGGCTTTTTCTTACACACCTAATTCTACCAAAATTATTGAACTAAAACTCTATGAGTGGATTAGTTGCTAGGGCAACATGCGTAAAGTAGCTGCAATGTTTTCAGATCAACAACCGTTTGACAATTTATGTTTAAGTATTTGACCAACAGTGCAGTAAATCTGGCCTGTGTGTTGGAGCCCATATATATGAGTTCAGTGGAACAAGGTGTTCCTTTCTGGACAATTCCAGCGTGATTAGAGGGTTTTTTTTCTGGGGGAGGGGAATCAATCAATCACTCTGAATGACAGTTTACAGCCAGAATACCAAGTTGTAGATTTACATGTCATATTGATGTGTACATTCAAGGACAGTAAATAGGTATTTCTGCTTGCTAACAAAGCAAAAACTGAAGTTTTAAAGTAAAACTTCCAACCAATAGCTGTCTTTCTGCCTCTGTCTGTGGCCAAGATGTTACCAGCAACTACTGCTGGACATATCTTCCTCCTCTGTGCCATAGAGCTTCACTGTTGTCCATGAATGATTAAAACAATAAGCCACACTGTTGCACTGGTTACCATCTTACTTCATTTCCATGAACACAGGCACTGTAGTTTATTTTGAGTCACCACATATTCTGTCATGCTACTGAAAACACTCATTAGTGCAACCAATATGCATGAAAATAGCCCCCGAAGAATCCACTTTTACTCCTGTTAGAGTAACGTTTGCTAAAAACTACAGTGCCCAGCTGTTTTAGGAAATTACTGAGCCTTTAAAAAAAAAAAAGATATCTTTGTGACTCAGTTTTAAAGATTTACATCTTTAGCAGGGGCCAATGGGCTGGGGCTGAGAGCTAAAGATGGGGTAGGGTAGTATTAAGAGGGCGGTTAGCACATTATTGGTTAGGGAACAGTGGGAAATCCAAACACACTGGAATTGTCCTATCAGAGCTTACTGAAGGAAGGAGGTGCTGCTGTTGAAGAACAGAGAATATATCATTCACGAATGTCTTGTCATGGTTTGTTTTAGTCAACTTCAGTGCCAAATAGGTGCAGCTCAATGTACCCAACGACGCAGCAAGCCAAAAGTGAATTCCAGAAAGCTTGGGTGAGAGTTGATTTACTGCGTTTCTTTTTACCCTACTTTGACTTTCATCCAGCTGTAGTCTCACACTCTTCTGACATGCTGTACAGATTAAAACACGTACTGTGAATAATTTGCAGATACTTTTCAGCACCACTCTGTGTAGATAATTAAAAAAAAGGTAAATGGCAACAGATTAGGAAGAGATCAAAGGTCAATAAATTTCTCTCCAGATTAATTTGCAGCTGGAGTTCAGCCCTTAGTTTTAGTTCACTTGTGTCTCAAACAGCTTCATATCTGACTAGTTCCAATTCATCAAGTAGGAATGAACCAAATTGTCTTCGTACTTAGCACTAGTCTTTGGCTACGATTCACAATAAAGGGAACAGTAGAATTGCATCTGATAAACACATGGCAATCTGATATGTGTGAGTGAGCGCCCAACATAGTACAGTTCCGCTAACTGAGTTATGTCTAAAAGGCCATTACAACCAGCGACACCATCTAAGCTACTGTAGTCATGTCAGAGTCAAGAGAAGGTGACATTTAAGTAAAGTCTGAGTTCCATTAAGAACAAATTAAACCAAAGTCAGGTTGTCGTATAAACTCAGAATAAAAAAGGAACTCCAAGCTGTGGACAGTCATGCCATCTTCTTTTAAATGACGCCTCGAAATTGTCCAAAACTGATCTGTTGTCCCACTCGGACGGTGACATCACTGAAGTTCTGTGTTGTCAGATACATTTTCTACAAGTTGGCCAGTAATGTCAACCAACCAGGTGATCGGGTGCAACTTCTGAGTTGCGTTTAGAGAGAAAAAGCATCAGAAGTCTGTCATTCAAATGGATGCAGACAGACAGTATTGGCGTCCCCTTGTAGCCATTGGTGCGCTGGCCATCGGATCACCGATACACTGACAGTATATATAATGGACAGAGCTTCTGGGTCTGTCCAAGTGAAGTCAGCGGGGAATTGTCTTAAACCTGCATTATATGTAATGGCCAGCAGGGGGAGCTCCATTGGCTGCAATAAATTATAATACCATGCAGTCTTATGGAGAAATGATCTGACTTCTGACTTGATTTATTAGCTCAGTAAACAGTTTCCTAATGAGTTAATGGTCTCAATCTCTAGTTTCAAGTTTTCTTCCATACAGCATGATGTTCATTTAGTAAATGATGGTCCATTTTTGAGTAAAATAGACGATAAAGCCACGTATGCTTTTGGGCATGGCTACCTTGTGACTGACAAATCATTCTCAGTAAGTCTCGGTGTAACTGTCAATCTAGGCAGTGCTGATCAAACACGAAGCAAGATTCTGTTACTGCAGAAACGAGATTGTGTGTGACCAGGCGAGCCGCCATCGTTTCCTGCTACGGACGAGTCAAAACTGTGCAGCCAATGAGAGCAGCTCAACTAGCAGTACGTCACCTCCGCTGGCTCAGACAAACTGCTTCAAAACGGTACTCCACAAACCAGTATAGGTAATAGGTTCACACTTGGTTAAAACCAAACCCTCAGTACAAGTGGAAGTAGGGTTGTAAAAAAATATAATTTGGCTTTGCTACTCATGTTCAAATTAACACTTGATGGACTATTTCACTAATTGAGAGAAGAAAGCTACACATTATGGTCACTGTCTGCTGTTGGGTCATAAAGGCTGGGATGTCTGGATTCAGCAAAGCTAATCTATCCTCCATGTCATTTGGGCAGTTCCATCAATAACCACTGTTCCAGGCTTGGGGATTGCATCAACAAAACATAATAGCCAAAACAGAGTTGTGCATGCTGTGTAAGAAGATCAAGTCCAATACATCTTGGAGTCCTTGGTGGAATAGTCTGAACCTAAGTCTGAGTCTTCAGTATCCAAGTCACAAGTCTGTACAACACTGCACTAAGGACACCACTAACATCTTAAGCCCTGGATCATTAACTGTTATGCCTCTACACCTGGACCAAAAACACTGACAGAAAAACCTCAATCAGGAAATCGGTATTTGCCAGCTCACAGTGCAGCTGTAGTTTTCCCTGAGCACTTCTGAACTGGGCGCAGCTTGACGATGCAAGAAGGTGAGATCATGGCTTCTTTAGAGGGGGAAGAACAGCGGCAGGCAGAAGCTTCTGCTGTCTTGGATTTTGCCTCCAGACAGGCCGAATACTCTGAGGATCCATGTGGGAGGCAGTTAAATATCTCAGAGATGGTTTGTAACCTTGAAACGGCACTGCACTGCTTGTGGCTGCTTAGTTTGGGAAATCAATGGGGAAGCTATCATGAAATCTCTAATATTCTGAACTGGAGGCAGTTTTCCAGTAAATACCGCTACCTATCCTATCGTATCCTATCCTAAACCTGCTGCATGTTTCATAGTAACCTGTATGTGTGTCCCTTAAAGGGTGATTGTTATAAAAGTCTTATAAAGTAAGAAAATAATAAACCAATCAGAATCTTTCAGACAATAAACAAGTTGTACAATACTCTGACATCCACTCTGGGTTATTTTTTTCTATAAAGAATCACAATCTCTACTTTCTGATAAACGTAAGTGGATGGCGGCTAATATGTGTCTGACAACATATCTGACCCTCTCTGTGCAAAATACATAAAGCGCTTACTCATGTTTTCATATCTCAACAGTCGTATGGTACTTTTAAAGCACTTCTTAAAGCACAAACAAACAAACAAGCCCATAAGGACATGTAACATTTCTTAAAGGTGCTATACGTACAGTTTTAACAAGAATAAATCACTGTCATATTAGTTTGCTACATTAGTAAAATTAGTGTAAACAAATCAGGTCATTGTAAGAAGACCTATCAGCCTCTACTCTGCTTTAACGCACCAGGTCAGATTTGGAGGGAAATCTGCTGGATTGCTTTATGGCACGTAACAGGAAGAGGGTGCTGTTCTTCCAGAGCAAACAGAGCCAAAGCATTCAGAGACTGTGGTCATGGTGGAACCAAGAGTAAACAAAGAGGTTATCTGCAATGGGGTTTCAAATGTGGAGCCAACGCTTGCACAATTATTAGCTGTTAATTAGTGTGAGGTAGAGGTGACCAGTCATCTTGGCTGTGGTCTTATTTATTTACAGTAATTATACCAAAGTAGCACTATCAATTTGACAGTTAGCTTTTTAAAAGTTACACATACCACCTTTAAAATGAACAGTAATAATAAAAAATAAAACAATCCAGTTGCCAACAGTCAAACCTAATTTGGAAAAAAGCGAAATAGAGTGGCGCAGGAAAGACCAGATTCAAGAGGGAAGTTGATGTTGACTGACATTGAATAATACGATACCACCGGCCACACTGTGAACCACCAATCAATGTTCAAGCTTGCAACAGTCGACACCCACTTATCATTAAACAGCAACCAATCGCAGCCGGCCATACAAACATCCTCAATGAGAGTCAGAGGCCGTGCTGTTGCTGTGGCAGGACGAATCCTACACGGCGTCCTGGTGGGTAGGTGGTGGGCATACAGTATGGCGCTGTGTGGCTTGTATCGGTGGGGTGGAGGTAAAGTCCTCTGCTCCCCTGGGAGCAGGGCGGGGAACTGTCTGGGCGGCGCTTCCAAGTGGAATCGAGTGAGGAGAGGGAGGGAAGAAGAAGAGGGCGGGGGGGGGGAGGGGGGATACTCTTCCTCTCCTGTCGTCTTCTCTTTCCGTCTCTCTGCCTCACAGCGCTGTGGCCTCCCAGCTGGTTCCCCGCGGGACCTGGCGTCACTTGGTCTCCGTGAGCACCGGGGCTGGAACGGCTGAGGGATGTGGCCGGTTCAGCTCTGCCCCTGTGGCGGGGGAAGAAGCGGCAGACGCCAGACTGCAGGGTGTGACCGGCGCAGTTACACCTGAGAGGGAAGAGTCGACAGATGTATGAGCACCATATATATATATTTATAACAATATAAGCTCCAAATTCTAAGTCATTTTGAAACAATGGGGAATTTTAGACAGAGGTAGACAAAAGCAGGCTTCACATTTTTAGCCGGTGATCACTGATTTTTGACTTTATTGACTGTAACCATCTAATCAACCTAATGTTAACTTCATAAATTGGTTGAAAATGCTGTCTGTGGCTGAGTTTCAAGCTGATTCATTCTGAAATGAGAGTCTTGTAAAAGGGGTCTAAAATATGCCCTTGACGGCGACGTACATGATATGCTAAAAGAATAAAGCTAACAAATCCCCGGCAAAAAATGATACATATGGCATTGTTCCTGTATTGCAGTGTAGAGCCAGTTAGTTCTAGTATTAGTATGACAAGGAAAAATGTAAGATTACACGGTCATTTCATTCTAACCTAACACTGTTTTTGCTGCTTAGCTTAAAAACTTAAAAAAAGGTTTTTGCTTTGCTATTTATGTTTTCAAACAGAATGCATTTTGTCACTTTTAATGCTATAAGAGAAAAGGCTTTTAGGATGAGGACCAGCCGATGTTAGCAACACTATCTCAGATTTCAGTTTCTCAGAGAAACACTACACACTGGATGTGTTATCATGAAAAGTGGGGTTTTTTTTAACCGATAGGGCTGTACACCTCTTGAGCTTGTGGAGAAATCCAAATGACAGGACTGCTGTGGCTAGTTGTGGTTGCTAAGCTAGGATTGGACAATCACGGTTTGATTTAGCAAATGATCAACTCTTTAACTTTTGTAATACACATATGTTATCTTGACTTTATGGTGCTACTGATACTTCTGACTCATACTCACATTCCTTGCGAGGAGCCGCTACGTTGTTGTCTATGGAAGAGGTTTTGCTGGCGGCCGCGTTGGTGCTCTGGCTCTGCGCCGCCTGGCCAGTGTTTTGGCTCTGAACTGGCTGGTTCTGGCCCGCCTGGCCCGGCTTCTGCGTCTGGCTAGGCCTGGTCAGCGGATTGGAAGCGTCCATGCTGCTCCCCATGCTGCTGCCAAGCTGCAGCCGCCTCATGTGCCGAACCACGGCGGTGGCATTGAACGCTTGCTGGAGAGAGGAAGGAAATAGGAATAAATAAATAGAAAGAGAGAGCTCTCATAAACTGCATTTTAATAGCATCTTCTATATTTTATGTCTCCTGTTAAAACAGGATGTTTTGGTGTGACATAACAGCGAGTGGTGTAAACAAAATGAATCATGGAGAGGAGCAAAGCAGCAGCAGAACGGTTCAAAAATCTGAGATGTTTTTATTCATTAAAGGGTTTTATTTCTACCCATTGGTTCGCCACATTATCAGTGTAGTGTTTGACGAGTGAGATTATATTGGGGATTTTTAAATATGATGTCACTGAAAAAGATCAAAAAAGCAATTTTTCATTTCATAGTGGCTTTGAAGTTACAGACCAGAATCTGCTTTCAATGAACTGGCACTAGTTCAAAAATACCACGATATGGTCTTCTGTTGCAGTTTATCTTCCATTAAAAACATCTGAGCTTCAAATATTACACAAGCTGGATGTACTATTAACACCCAGAGCTGAAAGTGGTGTACTGTGTGATGAGCAGTTCTTAAAAAAAGTGGAATTTGTTTCAAGTCTCTCTCTTCCTCCAAGGGCTTTAGTAGCAAAGTAGATGATGAAGGTTAACCATATGGCGGGCCAGGTTTTACAGAGTGATTCATCTTTTAAAACCACTTACAATTGTTTGAGGAGTTGTAATGGAGTAATACTAAAGTCTGCTGCAGTAAAGCCAAAAAGAATAAACTGCAGTAAACAACATTTACCCTCCATTTGCTCTTAGCGAAGTTCTTTCTGATCTGTCGGCTGACTGACTCATGGATGTTCTTGCAGAGTGCTGTATCACCGGCGATCCTGATATACACACACACAAACACACACACACACACGCACAAATTCTCTGTTAACACTTCTGACTGTAAGTCAATATCCGTATTGATTTTATGCCTTTTTGTTAGCTGGTGTATGACATTCTATGTGTGTGTGTGTGTGTGTTACTCACCAGGGGTGTCTGAGTGCCTGGTCACAGGTAAAACGCTTGGCTGGATCTTTTTCCATCAGATTGCCGATGAAATCCTTGGCTGGCAGGAGAAAAAATCATCAGAAGGCCATAAAACATCAATAACTTTAGACAAAAACACCACGTCAACTTTAAAGAGCATTTTGAGAACTCTTGGGGTAATATGATTCAAACAGACATTTGTGACACAAAAACATTGATAATCTCTGGCATTTCAGTCATTTTGAATTTGTGCGAATATTCAACAGCATGGAGTGCCATCTTTTGTCTGCTGAAAACCTCACATCTATAATCTTCCCCCAAAACCTGGGGCTGATGGTACGGACAAATCAAAAATTTGACCTGATGATCGTACTAGATGAAAAGGTAAGGGATTACCAAAATTCAAAAATGAATCCATCCTGAGTGGAGTGAACCGTCTTGATATTAGTTTGACAACAATATGTTAATGTGTTGGGTTTCAAAGGGTTACAGGGGTTGAAAAGTATCGCCACTAAGCTGCTTCTTCAGTTGAGGTGAAAAATAAAGTCATCCAGAAACAGGATTCATGAGGGTCATACAAAATAGCAGAAATCTGCAAAATGCAGCTACCCCTTGTCTGGCAAAACCCACCAAACTCTGGTTTGGATGATTTCCATTTGAGCTCCATCTGCTGTATTTGCTTCAAGAGGAAACCTGACACTGTTGGAAACACAAGGCTTTACCTGACAGCACATAAATGCTATTTTATCCCCATCCACACACACACACACGACTGGAGTCAACACAACCAGGTTCCCAGCTTACCAACACTATGCTGGTTTTACTGCCAGGCTTTGCACATAGCTGTGGTGGCCACACACACACACACACACACACACACACACACACACACACACACACACACACACACACACACACACACACACACACACACACACACACACACACACACACACACACACACACACACACACACAAATACATTAATTCCAGGCAGATGATGTCAGAGGCCGTGATGGAGAGGTGGTGTGTGGTCCATATGTGCCACATGGTGGACAGAGGAGGAGGAAGGGAAAATGGTCAAGGAAGCAGGGAGAAGAGGAGGAAGATGAAGGCTCACCTGAGTCGGATATGTCGTCCCAGTATGGTGCGTCAAACTCGTAGTCGGCTTTCAGGATCTGTTCGAACAGCTTGGAGTCGTTTTCGTCGTAGAACGGAGGGTAACCACACAGCCTGCAGACAAGGGGTTCACTCAGTCAACCATTCATTCTGTGATTCATTGATTAACTCATTCATTTAGTCTTATTCAGTCATTGATTGATTTATACATAACTCAGTATTAGTATATCTCAGTATAAGTAGTATAACTCAGTATATATTGCCATTTATTTTCTAATTGATTCAGACAATTTAAAGATATTTAGCACAGACAAAATATTGTGATTTATGTCAATATCAGGCAAATATTCTGATTTTGAATTTGAATTTGAATTACAACCATAAAGCCCTGCTCTGGATGTCAGGGGTCTCTTTTAACTGTGTAAGTATTAATAGCAGGGGACAAAGTGATTTTGGTCACAGCAGTGGTTAATGTGACAGCCCCTTTACTCGTAGTCGTGGCCGTAGTGGCTGTATCACCTTAATCAGGTTAACATGAGATTACTGGTTCCCAGTGTAACTGAAGCTCCAGTCTGATTCTCCATAATGAGCCAACTGAACCAACAGCAGAGCTGCTGCTCAACCAAAAACATCATCTGAACCTCATTACAAAAGTTCTGAATGCACCAAGAGATTTTCATAAAAACTCATTAAAATGCCGTTCTCCATCGATACACACACACACACACACACACACACACACACACACACACACACACACACACACAGAAGAATAAAAGAAAAGCACACCAGGAAGAAAGGAAGAAAGATTCTACCTGCCGAGAGGAAAGAAAGGCTTTCCGTTTGTTTTTCTGGTTCCTCATTTGGTTAAAGACCCACCTGTCACTCAGCTAATCCTCCACTCCATCGAACACTCTCACACACACACACACACACACACACACACACACACACACACACACACACACACACACATACATAACACACCAGGAAGAAAGTTGGGTCCTGCCTGGTGTGAAGAGATGCTTCCCTTTTGTTTTTCTGCTTTCACGTTTGGTTGGAGACTCAGCTGTCGCTCACCATCCATCCCACTGAACACACACACACACACACACACACACACACACACACACACACACACACACACACACACACACACATACTCACAAATACACATACACACTAATACACATACTCACAAATACACATACACACACACACACACACTTAGAATCCCAGATGATTATCATGGCTGATTACCTGATGTGATCTTTCCACCTGAGCAGCAGCTAAAAGCTAACAAGGTCTGAATCCCAACGCTAATTGTGCTAATTGCTAGTGGGGAGCCTCTCTCCCTCTCTCTCTCTCTCTTTCAAACACACACACACACAAACTTTCTCCACTGAGATGGTGGCAGCAGCACCAAAACCAAATTTAACTCACTTTTATACAAAATTCTTAATTTAACATGTGGTTTACAGGCATATAAAACACACACACACACACACACACACACACACACACACACACACACACACACACACACACACACACACACAGAGTGACACACACTAACAAACTAATGTATAAGATCGGAAAACAACGGGACAGAGAGACAGTGAGAGAGGGAGACTTTCACTCATCATAATCCCATCACAGACACGTTAGACCCGTGAAATTTCTTCCTCTCTGCCACCTCACACGCTCTGCATCCCATTAGCCTGCTGCTGACCTCTGACCCCTGATCTGACCTCACGCTCAAGATCATTATGTCTATGTGAGGTGGAACACACACACACACACACACACACACACACACACAAACAGAGATATAGATGGAGAAACACACACACCTTCAAACAATTAAAGCAATGACTGTAGGCAGCATTGTATGCATGTTAGTGGCTATGCTCTAAAGAAACACACACACACACACACACACACACACACACACACACACACACACACACACACACACACACACACACACACACACACACACACAGGGGCCCAAAAAGATGCACACACTCTAAAACAACCTTCTGCACATAACAGTAAGCTGAGCACACAGATCTTGTTCACATGCACTCAAACATGTACACACACACACACACACATACACACAAATGAAAGTGTGTGTGATGGTAAGAGGTGGGGGTGACGTGGCAGAAGAAAACCAAAAAGCAGATTAAAAGAAGTCTAGCCTGCAGCTCTATGTCCATACAAGGCCATTCAGCAGAGCTCCATCTGGCTCTGATGACGGCACACAAGCAACATCATCAACGCACACACACACACACACACACACACACACACACACACACACACACACACACACACACACACACACACAGGAAAAACAAATACACGCACACACGCGGGACCAAGGTCCCAGTGTGTTAAGTTTAGCTCCGGAGCAGTGCTATATGACCTTTAAGGGCACCCGCCACCATGCATGCATTAGCATAAACTAGCATTTCTAACTGTTACTGCAGTTTCTAGTGAATGACAAACTAATACTAAATAGATTAATGAAAAGAATGTGAAGGCGGTTTTAAGTGTCATTAATGAGTTTGTAATACATCACAACACAGCCAGTGGTTTTGTGTGTGTAGAAGCTTAGCTGGAGGTGAGTCACTCTGAGTCATGTGTGTGTCTGACTCTTATTTTCAATAGATAGATACGCTGTTACAGATTCATACATGGAGAAGAAGGCAGAGCTGTTTTCAATTGATTGTGAAGTCTGAAGTCTGTGGAGTTAAAATATCATTTACCTGTGTTTTTACAAGATTCACAAATGTAAACAAAGTGAAAGTGAAGAAAAAGATTCATTTCTCATAGCCTACATCTGCAACAGCAGTAATACTTCCATGGGGACTGGAAAGGCATTCATTCAATAGACTGTGGCTTTTTAGCAAATACTAAAGACATCAGTCAAAACTCATCACCTTTTATGCTTTCAAGTCTTAGGAGTTTGCTTTCACAACTCAACTGTAGTCTTTAAAGGCCTTGCACAACCACACAGGTGTTTCCACTTGTTCTGGCTAATAAGACTGCTACGGCCCTTTTCACACACAGCAGACTTATCATTGTCAGTCAAATGAGTCGAGTCTTGCGGCAAAATAAAGCCCAAGTCGAGTCAATAAGATTTATTCACCTAACTTGTCACAGCAGTGAAGTCCAAAGCCAACTTGATTATCCGACAGAAGGTGTTTCAAATTGTGGTTCCTGGAGGGAAACTCATGTAATCTGACACCAAGTGAGAGAGTGGTGGTGTCAGTCAGGCTGTCCAGTGTGATGGGATATAAAGAGGACCAGTTGGTACTTACAGGATGTAGGCGATCACTCCAATGGACCAGCAGTCCACTGCCTTACTGTACGGCTTCTGGGCAAGAACCTCTGGAGCTGAAAGCGTAAGAAAAATTGATTAACCTTGGCTACTTGTTCTGGCTATGCGACATTTTCCATTTTGCAGTAGCCTGGCGTTTAACGTAGCTTAAATCCGGATTGTTATTTTTGGTAGCACACTACTTTCTTCAGCTTGAGGTCCAGTTAAAAGTGCCGTTAGAGTTTTACATGAAAATGCAGCTGTTTTATGAGCCTGAAAAACAGAAAATATGCAGACTCTCTATGTCTGTCCAAATTAAAATCACATGTCAGTTTGGTTAACGGTGGGAAAGTTTCTGCAGGAGGTACTGGTTCTCACGGCTCCAACAAGTCGTACCTGCCATGACAAAAAAAAAAAAGGCAAGGCAAAACAATAACCCAAACAAAGCAATGATGTCACGATTTAACATTGTTTAACATTAAGCTAACTGCTGTTTTGTAAAATCAGACGTATTTGTGCAGTTTCCGTTCCTCTGCCGTTATCCTCGCCTGGCCTGACCTTACTCTCCAGCTCATCATCGAGCCTCGGACAGAGCAAATTACTGATGACAGTGAGCTCACCATAACATCACCCCACACATACACACACGAGGTTGGACCGAAATAGGTTTGGCACACATACACAGACACGCAGCAAGAGATGAAGAAATACAACTCATATCTGGGGCCGAATATAAACTTTGCACACATGTGCTGAATCAGAGAGCTTAGTTTTGTTTATAGGTCTACCCTGACTCATTGTGAAGGTGTGTGTGTTTGTTCTTGTTTTGCTGGATTCAGAATGAGGACATTTTTACACACTGAGGTCATTGTGCCTGCTGCTCACGACTTTAATAAGTGAGTTTAGGGTCAGATATGCTGATAGAGGGTAAATGTGTAAAATATGGTAGTAATCCGAAGTGTTTTTCTGCTATTTAGCTCAATTTCTGTTGTTAAATTTCTCAGTTAAAAAAGTTAAAAAGTTAAAAGTTAAAAAACTCATTGCTTTGGTATTTCTACAAATCACATGTGAAATAATGAGCAGGACCTCACCATCCTTGCTGATGACGTCTGAGTCTCTGTTTCGGTTATTTTTAGTTGCGCTTCAGTTATTCATTATGTTTCATGAGCTTTCAGATGGTTTGTCTCACTTTATTGTGGACAAAAACAATAAAATCACGTAAAAGGCTGAATGTCTAACAATTACTCGTTAAATGTATGATTGCTTTCTGGGATTTGGCTGAGATGAAGACAACTGTAGGAAACAGAGAGCTTTGTTTTGCTTTTGGTAGGTTTCGCTTTGACTGATTCCTCTATAGATTATGTGCCTGCAGCTGCTTCACAGGACAAATCATCACCCACCAGAAATCTGACAAAGGTGTGAACGTTAACTGCCATGTGTTTTATCCTGTGCCTATTTATCACGTTGAATATATGAATTTTAAAAGATATGTTGTTGTATTATATTTGTAGAGTGTCCTTTTAACATCTGGTCAAAGACAATGGATATATAATTATCCTTCTAGGCTAACTCTGGCTCATTTACAATATTTTTTTTCTGCTGATAAATAGCATTGTCCTTGTCAAATAAACTAATAATAAAAGTAAACAGAATAAAATAAAGGAGGTGTCACTGGAAGGCTGTTGCAGTGAAGCAGCTGTAGGTGTATTGTGTATAATAGCTGATCTAATGCTAGTGTTCTAAACATTTTCATGGTATCAAGCCATCATTCATTTAATGTAATCTCTATTGAAGCAGGTTGTTCAATCGTAGTTCCACAGCCATTTGATTTCTGTTGGAGAACTCTATTTACCCCACCAAGTAACTTTGTCAATGAAGTACGTGTACTCATGCTCACCGTAGGTCTGCTTTTCATTTGCTGCATTCTGAGTTATATTTAGACACACATTGTCTAGATTGGAAAGGCCTTGTGGCCAAGCAGACCTCTGAGGGAGGTGGAGGAGACCTGGGGTCGGGGGTGAAGCCCAAAATGAGCTGGGTGGGATAGATGGATGACATATGGTGAAACAATTTTTGTGTATCTCCATATGTGCATATCTGAAGCATTAGTATCTGTAGTCTTGTTCAATTAAATTTCATAGGTTTAAAAATAGGGGGGAAAAGAAAGGAGGCCGTTTATGAGCAGCTGATATGATTTCTAAACTTCTAAAAACACTGAACTGTTACACAACCTGAACTCCAGCTGGATTTAGTGGAGTTGGCCTGATGGGGGCGCTACAAAATCAGAAGTTAAACTAAATTTAAACAGTTATTTATGTATCTGTCTGTCTGTATTTCTGTGACAGATTTGTTTATGTGAGAGTTTGTACGCTCTTTGTTAGAACAACCAGTCTGTTTGTGTTCTGACATGAATGTGTGTGTGCTGTCAACACTGAACATCTGTCTCTTATAACAACACACGCACAGATACAGAAATGCATGCACACACACGAGCAGATGCACTCAAACGCACACACAAAAAATTAAAATATACAGAAACACATGCGTACCTACACACCTATATTAGCACACACACACACATGCATGCATGCACAGTCTAGTTCTGTTCGGCTCCATGTTGACTCAGCAGAGGAGGCTGGTCTGTCGGGAACTGATAAGCGTGATTGGTGAGCGTGTGTTTGTTAGTAAGGTGCACGCATACACACACACACACACACACACACACACACACACACACACACACACACACACACACAGCTCCAGATCACAGTGAATGAACAAAGATGATGCACGTTGTCAGATGGAAACAACATGCGCTCTTTGAATTTTTCACGTGTGCTGCTGGATTGACGCCTGCAGACGGCTCAGCTCATATTTACACTAACACGTAGTGACATAATGGGAAATAAAAACTTGTGTGACCTCCATCACCAAACCAAGACACTGATATGAGTACAAAATCGATTGCCTCTTCGCTAAACCCCTCCCCCCAAACAGAGATTATCCAACCATAGCTTAGCAACCATAACTAGGCACAGCAGGTCTGTCAAGCTTTGGATTTGTCCACATTTGGAAGTTGGATAAAGTTTATTATCTGTTTCATTTCTCACTCACTCAGCGATGTAGTGCAGCTATCTAGGGCCAGCTGTCCTTTGTATCTTATCATATTTTATTTGAATTTGTATTTGTATTCATTCTTATTATCCTGGTTTGGTAGTATACTCTTACCTGTGTTTCATTCTTTGTTTGCTGCTATGACACCTGAATTCCCCCCTGTAACCTAGTGTTACTTCCAAGGCCAAGAAGCGTTTCATACTACATTATTTTGTGTAGTTACAGGTTACATTAAATAATACATCCACTGGGCAGTATTTCAATACCGACTGGAAGCCAGTCTTCGATGCTCAGAGTTTAGGCTAGTTTAGTTTAGGTTCAGTTTTAACAGTAGCGTGTCTTCTACATCCACCATCATTACAGGCTGTTGCAGGCCAGGGACGACTGACTAACTTACCCACATATCCCGGCGTGCCGCAGGCGGTGGACATGACGTCACCACTGCCCTCCATCTTGGAAAGACCAAAGTCGCTGATCATGATCTTCGACTCGTCTTGGGGATTAAAATACAGCAGGTTCTCTGGCTGGAGGAAGGCGACAGAGAGAAAGAACGAGAGAGAATCAAGTGTTTTCGTGGTTTTCAAAGGTTTTTATATTTATGGTAATTTTGTAGTCAAATGTAAGAAAAACTGAGCAGCTAATATAAATGCAACTGTAAAAGAAAGTGACAGACACTGTGCTGGTTAATGGAGGTCTCTCTGACCAATCCCCTCTCTTCCAACAGCCGGCACGCGCCACTCTGACCCACAACGCACTGCATGTGTCAAGCCACTGCCCTTACTGCTGCAGTTAATCATTGGTTGTCAAGTGAGAACGAACCACTCGTGTGGATTTCAAATGTGGGAGGAGAGTGTGTGTGTGTGTGTGTGTGTGTGTGTGTGTGTGTGTGTGTGTGTGTGTGTGTGTGTGTGTGTGTGTGTGTATGTGTGTGTGTGTGTGTGACAGTACCTTTAGGTCTCTGTGTACGATGCCCATCTTGTGCAGGTAGTTCACAGCATCCAGGACTTGACGGATAAGCGTACTCGCATCCTTCTCCGTGTAGAAACCTTTTTCCACGATTCGGTCAAACAGCTCTCCGCCAGACACCCTGCAGAGTGGAAAGGAATGTATGTGTCAGTGTATGTTTGTTAAAAAACATTGGCATGCATGCACACACTGTCACACACACATACACACAGCAGTAACCCGTAACAGGCTTGGGGGCGTTGCTGGGTCGAGATTTCTAGTAATTTATGAGCTGTGGATGTTTCAAGCCAAGAGTGTCGGGAAGCTGTGAGCCATGTGCTACCTCACACACACACACACACACACACACACACACACACACACACACACACACACACACACACACACACACACACACACACACACACACACACACACACACACACAGCAGCATTTAGCATACCTTGTAACACTTGTTTATTTTTGAACATGTGATAAAAGTTGAAAAATACATCCTCCTATATCCCTGGAAAGGATACCCTTTCCTTTCATCTTTCATACCGATTCCCAACTGGATTTTTACAAATTTCAAGACTTCTGTCTGTTTCCATATGCAGCTCCCAAAATTCAAAAATATCCCTAGATTATTCATTGATCAGTATGAAATCAGTTAGAATAGCAGCAAAATTAATTTTAACTAAAGGATTGTACGTGTGTGTGCCTTTGTGTTTCTGTATGTTATAAAGATGAGGATATTTCCCATTTTCAGTGCAGCTTTACTTCCTTCATGTCCTGATCTTAAAAAAATTATATTGGATTTGGAAATATATTAAATACCATTATCATCACAGCAGCAAAATATTGACAAAAATAGTTTTGGGCAACTTCTTTGAGAGATAAATTATGAACTTAGTACTTGTGGTCCATTTTCAATGAATAATCTGCTTTTAAAAAGGAGTCAAAGCTCCTGCCAAAATATTCTGACATATCTGCAGTGCAGCTCTGTGTAGACAGAATGAAACCCATCAATGCTGAAAAAAAGAAGAAGAAGAAACTCATTCTCTCATTTGACCCAAGAAAAACACTTAAAGACATTCTTCTGCAAATTCATCTGCAATTTCTCCCCGCTGGCAGATTCTTTCAATATTTAGTTTAATGTTTCATGACTCCAGACCACATGAAATGACTTGTTCAGGTATAGATACACTATGTACAGATGGAAACTGGCCCATTGTCTGCTGTACAGACACATAGCTCCACCTGCTGGAGGATAACATCTTCCATCACCTCACAATATCATCTCATCTAAATGTTTGTATGTTAATGACTGCAATACAAATTGTAGCAAAAAGTGCCAACATCAGTAAGTAGCGTGTAAGTAGTCAAAGCAGCAGCACAGGGGCAGTCATTGTAATATTTCCACTAATAATAATAATAATAATAATAATAATAATAATAATAATAATAATAATAGTAATAGTGGCAGGAGTAGTAGTAACCAACCAACCTTGTAGTATTCTCCATGTACTGCGTGTTTATGCTGTAAAGCATAATGAAGGACACACACACACACACACACACACAGGCATCTGAACACAAGCACTAATATACACAAGTGGCACCAAATGTGCACACACACAAACACACAACACCACAGACACACGAGAATGCACAAAGGCAAACACACGCACGCCTGTATGCACACACACAGAGTTGCACGGCGTATCCGCGGGGCGTCGTCACAGCGACAGATCAGATTAGAGCCTGTGGAACTTAAACTCTAATGAAGTTTCTGAAAAAAAGAGATCAGAATTAATTGCTAATCCTTTCTCTCTTCAAAGAGGGCAGTGAATAGTTGGGTTTCAGAGGCAGTCATGTCTGGGAATGACAAGAAAGAGCCACACACACACACACACACACACACACACACGCACACACGCACACGCACATTGCAAAAGGGAGATCAGCCACCAGGCTGCATGGTTGCATAAGCGTTTGCGTAAGGAGACCATGGCAATCAGACAGGAGCACCCACACAAGAACACACAAACACACAAACACACACACAAACATAAGGCATAGATATACAGATGCGAGGGCAGGACCGCATACACACATAGATAAAAACATTAAAGCAAGAGCATTCACATGAACGCATAAAGACAAGCATGAAAAACACAAATATACACATACAAGGTCAAACACACGGTAAACACACACAGCTGACACAATGTCACACACATACACGAGGCCAGTAAAACATGGCTGAAGGATGGTCCAATGACCTCCGTTCAGCTTTTCACATTTGATACACAATAAGAAGATAGAAAAAACATCCGATAGTAAGGAGGTCAAAGGTCACAGCACCCTGACAATGTATTCATACAGTACAGCACAGGGGCTGTTTGTGCTAGTTGGGTGTGGTTTCAATTCAACACAGAATGCGGCACATGCTGCTCATGCCGACCTGAATCGACGACACTGTGCGGCACCTAAACAAAATACAACGTGTACCGACAGCATCGTAAAAAATACAGACTAAATAACACATATTTCACTTGGCTTGCCGTGGCTAAATCCAAAAAGAAAAGGTACTGCCTCTGCCAACACTTTACAGCTGTGAAAAGACTAAATAAAAGTTTAGCACATCTGCACCACCAGCTGTTATCTGATGATCAGCTGAAAGAGATCAACATCATACCTGCAGCCTCATATGCCAGCTGTACTCAATTTAAGCAGGTTTTCTAGCCACTGCAACTACGTATGACAGTAAATAATGCCAGTCTGACAGCCTGCACAGCACAAAGACCCTGAAACTGAAGCAGCTAAATGGAATTAAGCCATCAGTAATTCTATCATTTACACCTGTGCTTTTCTTACTGTAGCATGTTAAAATGTCTTCAGTGAAAAGGCTTTTACTCTAGCCTCCTCTACCTAATTATTGATTAAATGGTCGTGGATATTATGACATAAGTAAATGCTAAGAGACTTAAAGCAGGAAGAGAGACGTTTTCATTCCATGATATTTTCGATTGACTTTCAGTCAATCTAAAATGAAACTATAAAAATAACAAGGACTGCTGACATGAAAACCTCCAGGCTCATCATTTAACATTTTGAGTCATCTTCAGATGCTTTATTGAAGGTGTTTCCGGGGGTAGTCATCTGTTTTCCAGCTATTAATGGGCGAATTTCAGGTATTAACATTTTCCCATATTAAATATTGCGACAATCCTCCTTCCTTCCCGTTTCACCATCCCTACATCCATCTCTTCTCTGACAGCTGATCTGTTAGAAGGCAGGCAGTCGTATCGCTCTCTGGAGGAGATGGCTGTGCATCACGGCTGACATCGGGCCTCATTTCCCAGCATGTGTGTATGTGTGATACGCGCCGTTCACCGTGGCAGAGATGAAGAGCTATTACAGTCTTGCGACCTGACTAAATAATCACAGCGGCGAGTCGAAGGTCTGACCGGAGCTCCTGAGCTGCTGCTGATTAGCTGCCATCGAGGGGGGGAAAGCCCTACAATTTCTAAGACACCTCCGGTTTGCTTTCTGGGATCCAGTTGATGTTTGTCCACACAAACACTTAAATCTAATTAAGGCAATTCTGTGGAAACCGTAATATAAACACTATAATTACACTAATTATATCTTCTAACTTCTAATTTGTGTAAACATAACCTAATTAACACAGCTAGTCAGCTATTCAGCAACAGATCAATAATTGGATCTTATTTGGGCATTTGTTCTTGCTTTGAATTTGTGTAGAAATAATAAAAGTGACCTGTAGACTATCTGACAGCCTTCCAGACATTAAACAGATTGTGAATTCAACGGAGGGAAACATCGTGAACCTTGTAATTGATGTATTACCATAACAAGGTTATGCAAAGTAGTAAAGTGTGATCATAGACGTAGCACTGAAATTACTTAAAGATTCAGATTTTTGGTTTGAGAACATTCTAATATATTAATAAAATACAACATAACGTTATTTCTGGGCTTATTTACATCTTTGTCGCTGGTGTCTATGCAGTTATGCAGATGGAGACAGGTATTTAATGTTTGACATTAAGAAATGATAAAAAAATGGGTCACCTGTTAGCTCACATGGTAGAGCTGGTGCCCCATGTGACAAGGCTGAGTCCTTGCTGCAGCGGCCCAGGGTTCGAACCTTTGCTGCGTGTCATCCCCTCTCTTTCTGCCCCCCTTTCCTGTCTATTTTCAATTGTCACTATCAATTAAAGAAAATAAAAGCCAAAAAAATACAAAAAATAAGAATGCAAAATTAAAAAACTAGAAAATTGAGCATAAATTGAAAATCAAATGGATGTACATTACTTCTAATTTACTTGGCGATGTAGTTAGCATTGTAGCTAGCTAATGGAGGACACATTCACTCAGGTCAAACTGGGTGATATGGCTGTCTGATTTAATTTCTTGAGATATTAGAGTTTACCCTTATTAACATTTTAACTCCAAAATGTGCCACTATTCTCTAGTTAGAGGACTGGGGTGCATGTTCAGCAGTTGATTCGATGCTATCAGAATATAAGGGTTCACACCTGCATAAATGAAGTAAAAGTAATTAGTAAAACCAGTTCAACCATTTCAGATAAAGTGCTGACCATAAACTTTTCCTGTCAGTGGAGAAACCCACAGAAACAAAGGTTAACATTTATGAACAACTAGGTGTTTAAAACAAACAAACAAACAAACAAAAACACACTAAACAATTAAGATTATACCACTTGCCTATTTATTGGCTGCATATCCTGTCTAAGATTAATGACGGCCTCATCACAGTCAGATGTTGTATACTTATGTAATACTTTATTCTGGATTTTTTAGAAGCCAATTTGTTCTTTTACTAATATGCAATTCACAATATGAACAACATCAATATAAAACCCAAGTTGCACTCGGTTGCATCGATTTTCATAGCAGCACGGACTGATTGCCTCCCTGCGGTCGAGGTTACGTAAGACAAGCTGTGATGAACAGGAGCGAAGGAAAGGCTGTCAGACTGCATCGATCTGCCACGCCACAATTACACAGAAAATATTCAAAAATGCTTGTTCCTAAATGAGATTCCTGTCAGCGGGAAAAAGCCCTGACATCTCAATAAATGCACATAAT